AACTGAGTTTAGGACTGAAGAACATCACGAAGAGCGGGTGGGTACAAATACACTTTGAGACTTTATCCTTTGTTTCTTAAACCGTGAACCAAGCCACGTTACAACCCTTCAAAAGTCCTAATTGAAGCATGGGTTAGTTCGAAAGAATACTGCTACAAAAGGTATTCTGACTCCTGTAAGGCTTTACTCAAAATCCCGAGTTTGAATTTTCTTACAAAAATTTCTTTACTTGCTAAAAATGCATTTTTCAAAACTTCAAGACAAACATAAACTTTGCATTATATGAATATCACTGTTTGCATATGGCTATTTGTTTGACAGCGGAGAAATTCACTTAATGAATATCCAGTGAACCAAAGTTCTCTCAGCGAACAAAATCAATTCAAGAAGGATGACACTTCCTTTGACAAATCTCCTATCAACAGGGGGACATGACATGTCACTATCCAGCACCCCTGGGGAAGTCCAGTCAAGATTCCAAGAAATCTCTCAAGTTGCAGAGTAACCAGGGGCAAGTCTCCATCTCCGTCACTTGGGGCATTGAACGTCAATCCCGACAAAGGGTTACGTACAGTCAAACATTTCCAGGCAGTGCCAGAAACACTCGCTGCTAGGGGCAGTGACAAATCTCCCTAAAATCCTTCTCATAGGATGATTCCCTAGCCAGAGTTTAATCTATAAAAACATTTCCCCAGCTGAAACAACCTCAAGAGTCCTCGAAGACTCTCCCCAACAAAGTGGTCAGCTCTCTAGTTGACCGGCAATAGGGTTTATTTCCCCAACAAACTACAGATTCCCCAGCTTGAGTTTGCCTCTCCGACTACTACAAATCAAAGGACCACAACTCCTCTTCCCCAGTAGACTACTCTACAATCCCCAACAAGTTACTGTGAAACCTGGATCCGACCAGATATCAGTTCAACTTCGACTCCCCAGTAGAGCAACCGACAACCGAGACTCCTGAACTCTTTTCCCAAGCAGGAATAAACATTCTCCCCACAGAGTTTTCAATATTCCCCAGAGGAGTTCTCCTCAAACAATAAAACAGGAATCCCCAGTAGAAATATTCTAAGCAAAGTTTGAAGACACACATACTCTTCGACAACAGTCCAAGATTTAACAAACTCCCCGACATTTTGTCAAGGATTTATTTTCCCAGACAAAAATAGATTCATAAACATTTCACATTTCATACATCCTATTTACATACATGATAAGTGCATACGACACAATCTCATTTATTTTGAGAACATCATGACATCATGCATTTCATACATCATGACATTGCATACAGCCAACGTTTTACCTTTTCAGGAAAAGGTCGATCAACAGATGGCTACCATCAACCTTTTCAAGTTCCAGATTAATACCTGTAACAAGCCAGGAAAATTATCTGTGGACGACTGATTATATATTAATACCTGTAACAAGCCAGAAAAACTATCTACATGAAGAGATTGAAGATTAACACCTGTAACAAGCCAGGAAAACTAGCTTTCTTTCTCAGGTCAAAGATTAACACCTAAAATCAGACAGGACAACTATCTACTCGACCATCATCAAGCAACCCTGCACAGGTTCCTTCCATTTCCAAGATGAAGTTTTACTCGGATTCATCATCAAGCAACCCTACACAGGTTCCTTCCATTTCCAAGATGAAGTCTTACACGGACTCATCATCAAGCAACCCTACACAGGTTCCCTCTTTCCAAGATGAAGTCTTACACAGACTCATCATCAGGTAACCCTACACAGGTTCCCTCTTTCCAAGATGAAGTCTTACATGGACTCATCATCAAGAAACCCTACACAGGTTCCTTCCATTTCCAAGATGAAGTCTTACACGGACTCATCATCAAACAACCCAACCTTTTGATACAGTATAGATACGCTCCAGACACGGATGCCATTCTGATACTTATTCAGATTCAACCTTTTGATACAGTTCAGATACGCTCGAGACACGAATGCCATTCTGATACTCATTCAGATTCAACCTTTTGATACAATTCAGATATGCTCCAGACACGGAAGCCATTTTGATACTCATTCAGATTCAACCTTTTGATATAGTTCAGATACGCTCAAGACACGGAAGCCATTCTGATACTCATTTAGACTCAACTTTTGATACAATATAGATAGGCTCCAGACACGGACACCATTTTGATGTTCAACTTGTAGATTACATCTCAACAAGAATTCTTGGATGGCATCTACAAGCCCATCTCCAACAAAATTCTATCACCTCTCCAAATGGCTTCTTTAAGCCTATTCCCCATATCGCCGCCGAGTGCAAATTTTTGGGCACTCTAGTGTCCAATCATCTTCCACCTTTGAGTGCCGAATGGCAAATCTCGCCAATCTAACTCTTCAGGTTAAAGAAGATTGAACACGGGCAGCTGTTGTACCCCCAAAATTTTCCCTCTCATTTTCTCAAGGGATCACCCTGGATCCCAGGTTTGCTTCCATTAAGTTTCCAAGCCTTAAACTTCCAAGGAAACCACCACAAGGGAAAAATGGTCATTTACACGCTGAAAAGTCAAACTTTTACTTTTGGATCAAAATCAAATCTCAAAAATCATATTTCATCAAGACATGTTGGAATATGAAGTTTGTTTCATCAAGAAGTTCAAAAGTCAAATTTTACCTTGGAAAAGTCAAATTCTAAATACTTAGAATTTTTCTAAGTATTTAAGAAAAATGACACTTCAGAACTTCTGAGCCAGCCTCCAGGGAGGTGCAGTCAGAAGTTACAAAAATGGTTTAACACATAATCTTTATTCAGAACATGGCTCTTCAGTATCTACGTAAGTTCAGTCAGAGTTTGTTAGGATAAGGCAAAGAAGGTAATAAAGCGTAATACAAAGTCTGAAAGTTCCTTCAGAACATGCTGGAGCCAGAAGATAAGAGGTTCAGAAGATTGGATGCTACACAGTGTTGCACCCCAAAATTTGCCCTCCTAATCTCTTTTATTTGGCTTAGACTTTTTGCATTCATCTGCATCATTCCAATGGGTCATTTGCATAGCACGCATTTTTCATAAAATAGATCGCCTGAGGTTCAAAAGACCAGCATTTAGGGAGCTAAGGTTTACAACTGATTTAAGGTGTATGTGTGGAATGAGCCTGATTATTCAAGGGTCTTCCTGGTGTCAGCAAGTTGGGGAATTAGGGTTTTGATTCATTCTCATTTTTTGGACTTCCTCTCCCTCAAGCAGCAAGGCTATTACCTTCTGATAAACAACACATTATTTTATTATCTTAGTTTCTCAAAAAACTCTATTGCATTCTTCTTTTCTACAATGACTTTTTTCATAGAAATACAATCACTTCCCCACCAATTTCCACATGGTTTAAGGGTTCTTGTAATGGATTGTGACACAATTACTCTGAATTCCATTATGGAGATGTGTATTCGATGCAATTATCTAGTTACAACATGCTGTAATGCACCTTTTGCATTGAACTTTTTGAAAGAAATAAAGAATCTTTATGACGTGATCCTAATTGAAGCTCAAATGCCTGACATGAATTCCTACCATTTCTTGCAACATGTTACACAGTAAATCAAAATTCCAGTCATTATGATGTGTGTTGATCAATCAATAACTCTAAGTCTAATGATGAAGGCGATTGAAAAAGGTGCTTGTGGATATTGGATTAAGCCTTTGAGTGAAGGTCAAATCAATAACATATGGCAACTTGTTGTAAGAAAAGTTTTGAAAGAAAACAATTAGCATGATCAAGTTCTTGAAATCTTGAATGTAAAAGATTTGAAAAAAAAAGGGAAAAAGATGATTATGCACCTACTTCTTCTTGTGATGATAATATTAACTATCAGCCTTCAACAAAGAGGAGTCATTTTTCATGGTCACAAAAATTGCATAAAAAAAATTCTTATGCGCTGTGAATCAACTTGGCATTCACGAAGCAAAGGAAAAAAAAGTTATGAAACTCATGAATGTCCCTGGTTTGACAATTCAGCAAGTTGCTAGTCATCTACAGAAATTTAAACTTCGTTTGAAGAGAGCAACTGAAGAGAATAAAAAGCCTAAAGTAGGGAAGAAAAAAATCAAAATGGGATGGTGAATTTGAGTTTCAAGCTTTGACTGTTGATTCTGCTGTTCAAAATAATATTCATCATGAAGTTGTTAACTCAATGCCTAATTCATCTCTAGAGTGTGACAACATCTCCAGTGCACAACCTTTGGAAAAAGTTAAGGATTTTGAAGTTTCTAGCAACATACAACCGTTATGTGAAGCATGATCTTCATCAGAAGTTGATGCATTCAATTGGAGTTAGAAGCATGCCAATGAAAACACATGGAGGTAAAGAAACTTCTTAATCGGGTCCATGATAATGTGGTCTTCTGTCTCAGGAGTCTTGGCATTTGGGGAGCGTTGCAGGCTAGTCGTATTCTCTTGAGCGGTGATCTTTCTGAGAGGCAAGCATTAGTTGAGGCGGAAGGAATTTCAAGTGACGTGTCTGTATGTGATAAATATCTTGCAAAGACAACTGAACTACTTACATCCAAATGCATGACAGGTGACAATGTTTCTGATCAATCTTCTTTGGAAATATTAAAGGAGCCTTTTTTTCTCTGCAAAGCTCTTACGCCTCATTGGAATATTGACTAGTTTTAGGTTGCAACAGAACAGGAAATGTATAATTTTTGTGAATAGAATTGTGACTGCAAGATCCCTATCATATATACTACAGCAGCTCAAGCTTCTAAGTCAGTGGAAAGTATTTACAGTTACTTCGAAGTTTGTTGCGACAGAAAAACACAACCACTCAATCGCTATTTGAATTTCACAATGTTCTTCAAAAGGGAAAGAAATGCCTGGGTCTGAAAGTCTTTGCCGAGACGTTTAAAGTAATTGGCAACCCATTGGTAATTGCCAAGCTTAGGAACACTTCTTCCCAAATTGCTTGTCCAGATGCTGTGTTTGTGGATTTAACAATTTACAGAAACAGAGAGCTCAATTTCTCTCAACATGGCTTGCACCTCTGCAAATTCATTACTCCAATTAAAGTGTTCTTCCCACCAGAAGCCAATTTTGAATTTGAGAAGAAACATTGCTCTTCATCATCACTCACCCGGTAACCCATCCATCTTATTCCGTAAAGGGTTTACGCATCAAAGTCAAAGACAATTTATACCTACGAGTAAATTTAGAGTTATACGAGCTGTGGCAATTCCACTAGAACCAGCTCCAGTGGAAAGTGCGGAGTACAGAAAAGAGCTAGCTGAATGCTACAGTTTTAACCAAATCGGAGAACCACTTCCGGAGACTGTTACGTTGAAGGATGTCATCACTTCTCTTCCTAAGAAGGTTTTTGAGATTGATGATGTGAAAGCATGGAAAACTATTTTGATATCAGCCACTTCGTATGCGTTGGGGCTTCTTATGATTTCTAAAGCACCCTGGTATTTACTTCCTCTGGCTTGGGCTTGGATGGGGACTGCTGTAACTGGGTTCTTTGTTATAGGACATGATTGCACTCACAAATCATTTTCAACAAACAAATTGGTAGAAGACATTGTGGGAACTCTGGCCTTTTTACCACTAATTTATCTATATGAGCCATGGCGATTTAAGCACGACAAGCATCATGCAAAAACAAACATGTTGAAAGAAGATACTGCTTGGCATCCTATTTGGAAAGACGAGTTTGAGTCAAATCCACTTTTGAGGAAAGTTATAATAAATGGATACGGTCCATTTCGATGCTGGATGTCTATAGCTCACTGGTTGGTCGTTCACTTCGATTTGACCAAGTTCAGACCAAATGAAATAAACAGAGCGAAGATAAGTTTATCTTGTGTTTTTGCCTTCATAGCAATTGGATGGCTATCAATTATTTACAAGACTGGAATCATGAGATGGAGTTCACAGAGGCAGAGAGTAACATGAATGATTTGGTAGCAGAGTACCAACAATACCAGGATGCAATTGCCAAGGAAGAAGATAATTGGTAAGACTTGCTGACATAACCGGTTCGTCAAATGCCAGTAATGCTCCTAAAATGTTAGACATGGATACTATACACAACTTGTCCAGTCAAACTGCTCCTACAAATGTTAATCCGACAACTCTCAAGGCCCAATTCTTCAACAACTCAAGTCAATCAGATTCAAGCAATTTATCAGGTCTGGAATCTGGGTTTTAAGTCACGAAGATCGTCTCAGGGGATAGCCGGAAATTCGTCTTGGCAAGGATCAAAAACTCTTACTAAGCCACAGAGTTCTTTTTCACATGCTAGTAACTTGAATAGGATGATTGAGGCAACAAATTCACGGAGCTCCAATATCGAAACTGGTCCTCAGCTGCAGCCAAATCTTGCATTGCAGTTCTGATGATATATTATTGAATCTGCTCATTCATTTTTCTAACTTGATAAGGTCATGTCATGAGGGAGAAAGTTAAAAAGTTTAAAGGATAATAGTCATATAATAGTAAAGAGGTTCATATCCAGGAAAACAGAATTCCAACTAGCATAACCACCTTGTAACAAACTCTCAATCTCACCCTTCAATCCCTAACAAACTCTACCCAAATCAATGGTTCGGATTGATTCTCACATAACCATTTACATCTCCCTCAACTACCTATATAATCCAAACTCCCTCCAGGTTTCAGGGGACGATGTTACTCTCTCTCTTTTCCAGTTTCAAAACTTCACCATTTTATCAGCTTCAAAACAACTTCGTCCCTCTCCATCATTCATTCTCAATTTTTTCTGAACTCCCATCATCTTCTTCAAAGACTTCAATGAGAATCTAAAAAAAACTTTGTACATCATCAGCATCATCCTCAACGATTTCAAAACAAATCGCGCTCGGCTCAAGAACAACAGTGCATCACGCCACAACACGCACCAACAAACAGATCACGGTGCAGAACGGTCGATTCATAGAAGAAGAAGATTGAGAGGAAAAGGTCACGCATATGAGTTGAGAGATTCAAACTTGAATACACCAGTACTACCGGATTTCTGTTCATCTTCATCATCCTCAAAGAACACCAGACCTCTCCGGTAGGTAAACACCATCATCTCATCCCCTTCGCTATTTTGCTCTTTCCTTTTAGCACCTCCGTGTAGAATGTGTGGCAGGATTTTTTTTGGGGAGAGTTGTTATTCGTTGAAAATCGAGGAACGATGCGAAAGTTTAGAGGAGAAGGGAGATCGAAGTAAGAACGAAGGTGATGATATTGAGGAGACGGAGACCACGCGAGGTTTTATCGAAGAAGGAGATTAATGGTGAAGTTACGACAGTCACCGATCGGAGTGAAACAAAGGCGATGGTTCGTTCACACGGCGCCGTTTGAAAGAAGAGAAGAAGGATTCTATTGTCAATTCCAAATCGACCCCATTTTTTTTCTCTTTCTTTATTATTTTGTTAATTCTTTGTTGTTTTTTTATAATAATGACAAAACTTCTTTTTTTATATAATTTTTATTATAGTTAAGAACTTATCTTAATCTTCCTTATAAAAAAACAATAAATAAAATAAATCCGTAAGAATTTGTTAGTTTTTTAATACTTCTTTGATTTCTCAGGAGTTAATTCGTTGGTTATCCGATTAGTTGAAATTCATGACTCACCTTTGTTTTGTCGAGACTTGAATCTTATGCAGGTTCAATATGCGACACGTGGATATGCTTGAGATTTCGATTGTGATTTGTTTTCGCATCTAAGACACTTCGACGCTTACTTCGAGTACTGAATTTCTAACTCTTTTCTTTGATGGTGCTAGCAGCTCGCAAGAACATCGGGTCTCTTTACTTTTTTGCTTTGCTCCACGGGCTAATACTCGTTTGGTATATTTTCTTTCTATTTTCATCTCGCATTTATCTCTACATAAAGGTCGTATGAAGTATAATAAAATTAGGTTAGAAATAGACTGGTTTCCCTGTGACTTGTCCTTCCCTTTTTTGCATATGCATTTAAAACAAAAATTTCTCCTTTTTTACAAACTTCAAAAATACATAAAAATTTATTGACAAGAACCGTGTCTTGGCTAAGTTTGAGAGATGATAAGCGGGTTTCTTCTCGACCTTATTATTCTCTTGTTCTAAGCTTTAGTATGATTCAAGTCTCAAAGACTCATTTCATGAATAAGTAGAGAAATGGCTAAAATATCTCTCTTGAGGTCAACTAGATGTTACCTACAAGCAAAAACACCGACAAATACAAACTCTTTTTGCCTCTGGGCCTTCCTTTCAAACCTTTTTCAAAAGAACATGTTAACACACTTCTGTGCTGACGCGTAAGTCTCCAAAGGTCGAGTTGCGGCAGAAGGCGAAATTAATATTGTTCAGTAAAAAAAATACAAACAAACAAAAACATGTAAGCCGAACTACGGCTGCTCTGATTCCTTAAAAGGGATACGTAGGCATCGGGGTAGGGCCCGAACGAGCACAACTTTTATTTTCCCTACATTCTTCTCTCCTTTCTTTTGCATGCATTCCCTCCAGTAGTATAGTAAACAATAAGCATAGATTGAACACATCCATAAGATAGACAACAAGAGTGGATACCGTAGAGTACTATGGGCGTGTGGAGTGCTAATACCTTCCTCTCGCGTAACAGACTCCCTTACCCTGATCTCTCAGTCGCAAAAGCGTGACTTCTCCCTTCTCAGGTTTTCTCGATGTTTACCTTTCCCTACCTGTGGGATAAAAGACGTTCAATGGCGACTTCATTGTTTGATGATTTTCAGCCGGTTGTTTCAGCTGGCGACTTCACTGGGGATAGGTCGACCAAACGCTGGTCCGTCCCAGAGTCGCTCCTAGCTCTTGATTTCTTTTCTTAGGGTGTTTATTTTTATGCTTTCAGTTTATTCGTTCATTTTTTAAATATATCTATGCATATGCATGTATTACACTCTACTGCCTTCCATATACTGTTGTTGTACTGTATCTGCTTCTTGCTTGGGTGGGAATGTTACTATTGAGGTAAAAGGCCCAGTACCCAGGCCAGAGTGCACTAGGACACCTAGGAATAGAGTGGGGGCATGACGGCTATAGGACGTGGTCCGATTAGTGCAGTCATGTCATATACCACGCTCGGATGAGGTTCAATTGAAGGTACTTTCATCATACACATCTGTGTTGCGATGATTTTACCTTCAGGCGGACCCATGATTTTCGAGTTACCATTATCTCACCCTGACCTAGTCTTCACACGTGAGTGGGGAGGGATTTATCATTACAGGTACAGTTGGTGACTATATTCAGACAATTACTTTTGGTTATGTCCTGTATTTCTGCCAACAGTTATGAGGTTCTCAGATTTATTTTCTGGGGACTTATCTTTGATCTTCATGGTCCTCTTCCAGTTACATTTCAGACCTGTACTCTCGGTATTGACAAGGATACGAAGAGGCAGTACAATAGAAATCAGTATCATGGAAGTAGTAACCCCATGATCACTTGCACACACATCATGGCATATTTACCTTTCAAAATATATATATATATATATATATATATATATATATATATATATATATATATATATATATATATATATATATCAATAATTAATTCGCATACGCATTGTCATTTCCAGGATCTATCCAGGGTTTCCTTTTCCTCCAAAGAATGGTGAACAACACTGATGTCACCCCGAAGACGAAGAGGGATAACTTCAGCTATCAGTTTTGTCCTAGTACTTGGCCCTCTCTTGAAGAGCTCAGAGACCTCATGAATTGTCAACAAATGGGCGTTTTTGGTGAAAGATATGGGAATCTCATATCTTTGCTGGATGCTCGGGTTAACGACAAGGCTGTACAGACGTTGTTACAATTTTATGATCCAGAGTTGAGATGCTTCACATTCCAAGACTACCAGTTAGCACCTACTCTTGAGGAGTATGCTCATCTTCTCCACATTAAGCTCACCGGACATGTTCCATTTGTTCAAATCCCTATTGAACCTGATTTTGAGGCTATTGCTAAGGTTCTTTATTTGAGCCTTAACGACGTAAAAGGAAAATGGAGACGCAACAAAGTCAATTCCGGTCTTCCTACAGATTTCTTGGCAAGTAAGGCTAAGGAAATGGCGAATATGGGAAATTGGGATGCTTATTATGCTCTGCTGGCCTCCATTATTTATGGAGTTGTCTTATTCCCTGAGATTAAAGAAATCATGGACTTGGCATCTCTGTGCGTCTTCATGAATAAGAATCCTATACCTACGCTATTAGCAGATACTTACCATGCCATCCACTCCAGGCATGGAAAGAAAGGAGTAGTGGTATGTTGTATACCAATACTTTACAAATGGTTCATGGCGCAGTTACCCACCAAAGGGCCATTCAAAGAATATCCTCGTTCATGGGCATCAAAATTGATGACACTCACCTCTTTCGACATTCAATGGTACAAACTTAAGGTGGATAGCTCTGAAGTCATCTCCCACTGTGCAGGTTTCTCTAATGTTCCACTCATGGGAACAAGAGGGGTTATCAACTACAATCGGGTACTCTCTCTTCGCCAATTAGGTTATGCCATGAGGCGTCCACCCACAACCAAGGAGGTTGAACCTATTTTTCTCAAAAAAGGAGAAGACCCATAATTGCTAAAAAAGGTGGAGATTGCTTGGGCGCATATTGGAAAGAAAGGAAAGGAATTCTTTGGGCCAAAAGAAGTACTAGCTTTCGATCCTTACGTGAATTGGCTAAAGGAAAGAGTCAAAACTCTTAGGTTACCTTTTGAAAAAGAGATTTCCTTGTATCTTCAACTCACTGAGTTGCTGCACGATGTGCCTAAAGAACACTTCTATCAAGTACAATTGGAAAATAGGGACCTCCGCCAGAACTTGGAATACAAAAAGATGGAATTCTATTTTTTAACAGAAAAGAAAAGGGACTTGGCCCGTCAGCTGAAAGAGTATGAGGGGGAAAGTAGTTCCAAGAAACGACCTAGAAATGAAGACTTTTCTGTGTCTACGGAAGAGTATCAGGTGGCCCTCACTTACGCAGAAAGGAATCGGCAAGAAACTTTGAAATTTCAGATGGCCAACAATAGGAACAAGGCCAAGGTCAAGGAATTAGGAAACCTATTCAAAGTTGCTAGGATGGAGTTGGAAGTGAAAGAAGATCAAATGACCGAAGTACTGAAGGAAAATGCAAGACTCCGAGACAAGATCAAGGAGATGGAAGAAGCACCCATGCCTATACCTTTACCAGAATGTAAGGAATGTGACCGTCTCCTAGAGCAATGTGTGTACTTAGAGGGACAATTATATCGGAAAGATGTGGTGATTGATAGTTTCGCTCGTGGACGGGATCGTGAAAAGACGAAAAAGTTATTTGAAGAAACTAAGTAATGGAGCAAGGAATATTTCCAAC